GGAGACCTCCATTTAGAAGTTGTGTTCTTACCAGATCAGCCCCCGGTACTCTTCTCTTCCCCCCTCTCCCAAATTTGTAGCTTTTCTAACCAGAATTCGTACAATGAAAGAACCCATTAATTTACTAGGGTTCAGTGTCTCCTTTGCTGTAAAGTTAAACAACCCTCCTCCCCAGTTTGACATTCCTTCCCCTTATTAGCTGCAGCTGGCTCTTTCTAATTACAAAAGTCTTAACTTCTTTTTCATTTATATTCTGTGGCTTTTATTCCACTTTAGAGCGAAAATATGTGTGCCCTCCCCCGCTGCTCTCTCACTATTGCATGTGTAGCTCATATGTTTCGCTTTGAGTCGTCTAGGAAATCCTTAGATTGTTGGCACTTCGGTAGCTAACCAAAAACTTACTGTCTATCTTTGCTACAAATGTATGTTTGTTTTGTGCCAGTTTGAGTCTCATCTCAGTTCCACACCCCACACCCTGCATCCCTGCCAGTCTCCCAGTCCTGGGAATTTTTCATTAAATAAGGATTCTGTGAATTTTCTGTTGCAAGGTATACTTCATAATGCTGTATTGTTTTTAACATTTGGTTGGGAGCCGCCCAGAGTGGCTGGGGAAACCCAGCCAGATGGGTGGGATATAAATAATGAATGATAATAATTATTAATAATAATAATAAGTTGCCAGGTATCCCCATTAAACTAAGAGGCTAATGTGGATGTGAAGGCCATTGTGCAAAGGGAATCGGTGAGTTGCAGTCCTGGAACCAGTGTTCAAAATTAGCCAAGCCACTTTTGACCACTTTCAGGCCCAGGCTCTTCTCTTCCTCCACCTCACTGACAGAGGGTAAAATAACAGACACAACATGATTGAAATGGGATCGAATCAGGCCACAACTTTATTGACTACAGTGCATGGGCATAGCTATGACCGGATCAGTATTAGAAACTGAGATATGAAAGCTAGTAGCTAGATGGCACCTTAAATCTAGGTTATGGGCGCAACAACGGAAAGTCTAGGCACGCTTTTTTAATAAAAAGAATACAAAGCTGAAAATGACGGAACTGCAGCTAAAATATTATGTTCATTTTTCATATGGTCTAGTCCTTTCCCTGCCCACCCCCTAATATTCTTAAGAGGGTCTCTTCTCCAGTCTTCAGAGAGTAGCTGGAAGTGGGGAGGCAGAAAAAAGTCCTCCTTTCCTTCCACTTTGCAGTTTTAATCTGAAATCCTAGGTGCAGTACTACTCCCGGAGCTCAGAAACTGCTTGCGCTAATTAAATTCCCTGTCGCAAAATGCGCCTAGAACAATAGGCGTTTTGAACACTGGACTGGACACCTTTGGAAATAAGAACCTTCAGGCAATTGGTTGTTCTGTCATTTGGGTGGGTGTCCAAACTACTTTGGAAGAACAGAATTAATCCTCAGCTAGTCTCTGATGCACACTGCCTGTACTGGACTTAATATCCACTACTGTGAAATGTCACTTGGCGTGTTAATACATCCTGCCCCCCTTCTTAATCGCTATGTCTGCAATTACATCTGGGAAAAAATCCTGGTTTGGTTGTATGCTGGTGTTGCCCATGTGATGTTGAGCCAACCAAATCAACTGGTCCTTAGAAGTGGGTTGGTTACATATTTTGCCCAACGTCACCAGTGTGGAAATGACTCACGGGATTGTAGGAGAGTCCTTTTAGGTTCACATTTCTAGTTTAGCTTTTAATAATTCTGACCACATTTTCTGTACATGGAGGAAAAAACCTCACTGAATTGATCTTTGACATAGATCTTTGTAAAATTGGTAATGCCTGGAACTCTGACCCAACCTGTCCTCAGCAGCTTTCAGAGGCAAATGGCAGTCAAACACAGTCTTGTTTGAATTTTCCTCTGAGTTGGAAATATACTGTAGAGGACGATGACCATGTGAACTGTGCCCCTTCCAGCCTCTTGAGCCGATAAGCACTACTTCATATTTTATTAGAACAATTTGGCTCCTGATGTGAACTCAAGACTCATTAATCCTATAACGTGGTAGATGGAGTTGGAAAAATACAGGATGTAAATATGTTCTTCATTATGCACTCTAATACCAACCAGATATGAAGTGTGCATTCTGTAATATGGTAGTCAGAATGCAGTAGGCAACTAGCAAATTGTTGACAAGGATCATCTGTTGCTCATTTCACTCTGGAGTCTTGAGCAAGAAATTCTTGAAGTTTTGAGTGCTCGGTGTTGCTTACTGATGCCTATCATAACTTGATGAACAGATATTAAAATGGGTGAAGAGCTTGCCGTCTGTACCAACAAAACTTATTGAAACTGAGTGCACATTTTGCATGAAGTAGATCTGTTCAGGGCTTGCCTAAATGCTCAAGTGGTTTAAGCAATCACTTGGCAGGGGTGGGTTTTCTTTTCCTTTGAATTTCAAATAAAATAAAATAGGAGCAATCAGAGATTCACCCCTTTTTACTGTAGTATTCTGGGGGGGGCATTCCTTACATCACAAAGCAATTAACTGGTGCTTTTGTGAAGCAACGTGTTTTGGGGTGTTGGTTGGCTACTGTGAGAACGGGATTCTGGATGAAGTGGGTATTTTGCTTGATCCAACAGGGGATCTTTATATGTTCTTAAGGCTGCAGTATGGAAGTACTCCCTGTGTCACTCATCTCTGTGGGCTGAATGAAATTAGGGCCAGCCCTAATGGACAATGGACAAAGTTGGCTTTCATAGCACCAATAATTTGCTTCCTCTGCACCTACTTTTTGGGTGGCAAGTAGTTGGATTGTGGCTTTGCTTGGCTGCTAAGATGTGCCTCAATAAGACCTGCACCAGAGGGACGCGGCTGGCTCTGTGGTCTAAACCACTGAGCCTAGGGCTTGCTGATTGGAATGTTGGTGGTTCGATTCCCCGCGACGGGGTGAGCTCCCGTTCCTCGGTCCCTGCTCCTGCCCACCTAGCAGTTCGAAAGCACATCAAAGTGCAAGTAGATAAATAGGTACCACTCCAGCGGGAAGGTAAACGGCGTTTCCGTGCGCTGCTCTGGTTTCGCCAGAAGCGGCTTAGTCATGCTGGCCACATGACCTGGAAGCTGTCTGCAGACAAATGCCAGCTCCATCGGCCAGTAAAGTGAGATGAGCGCCGCAACCCCAGAGTCATCTGCGATGACCTAACGGTCAGGGATACCTTTACCTTTACCATTAAGGCCTGCAACAGCAGTTGGTACTTCCAGGAGGCTGGGGAAGAGACTGACCATCATTGCCCTCCCCAACATTTTCTTTTGCTGCTGCCAACCTCCTCTGGAGCCAGCTGCATGTCATCTAGCCTGGGAAGAGAACATCTCTCTCCTCAGCTGTACTTGAACCAGGCTCCTTGAAGTGCAGGAAGACCAGTACCAGAACTCTTTTTTTGCCTTTACAATTTTTTTTTATTGATTTTCCAAATTTAAACCCAATTATACAGAAACTTTATATTGTCAGTTAATTCCAGTTTTCTTTTTAGTTATGTACTTAAGCCTAGATTGGGTTGTTTTTCTTTTTCCAATATTGAACTTATTGTGTTTGTTTAATAGTTGTTTTTCATCACTATCAGGCTCTGTATTTCGTAAATTTGTATTCTCATGTTTTGAATGTTTTCTGTATGGTGCTCTGGGTGCTTTTCATTATGGAAAAGGGGCAAATAAGTTAACCCAATCACTCCATCTGTTGACCAAAGTGTAACTTTGAAGGAGGAGGGTGAAACAAGTGCATGGGTCCTTGGTTGTTCAGTAGAACCTAGGAGCAAAAGTTTTTATGACATTATAGGAGTGTGTGCAGTTGTCTTGTTTCCAGTGTTATCATATTGTTACATGCCACCCCAGTCTCTGCCGAGCAGTGTCCAAGATTTCAGGGTTTGCTTTTTCTTTTGGAATGAGGCACAGCGGAGACTATGGTGTCTTTATGATAATGGTTTATTTACACATATATACAACTTGAGTCTACAATGGAGGGGCTTCCAGTGTTCACATCTCAAAGAGGGTCTCATCTTCCCCATAAGTGCAGCATGGATTCAAGGACAGCCCAAAATCCATCTCTGTGTCTCCTTGTCCCAGGGAGCTCACACAATGATCTGACCTTCCTTCCTTCTTTCCTTTCCTTCTGACTGCTAACCCAGTGAAACGATTCCCCTCCGCAGCCTACCTCATCCAGAGTGAAATCCCAAACCCCTTTCTGTCTCTCTGACACACAGCTGGAGGGCACTGAATTTCCCGATGGCCTCTTTTGTGGCTTTCCTGATGGGTTCGCAACTTTGCCGTCTTCTTCCTTTGTCTTCCTCATGACCCAACTCAGCTAGCTCTGCCAAGCTGGCCTGGCTCATTGGCATAAGCGACATCCAGGGATTTCCATGCTTGGCACAGCTTAACCAAAACTTGATTAATTCTAACTGTTACTAAATTCAAGAATTATGGGTGCCCTTGCACCCGCAGACTCTGGCATCCAAACACGTAACAATATTTTAAAGTAATACAGCCTCCATCTTCTAGACTGCAAGCAAGCTGGCAAGCTGACGAGGAGCTCTGGAGGTTATAAGGATAATGTAACTGGTTCAGGCTGTTTTGCGCCTAGCCTGAATTCTGGAACAAAGGAAGCTGCCTTATACAGAGTCAGACCATTGGTCCATTTAGTATAGCGCTGCTTTGCCTCTTTTCCCCACCCACATTTCCTTCTGGGCAACCTTCCATGCGCTGCATGCCAGTTGCAGGTCCAGAAGTGAAAGTGGGCAGGGTGATGAATGCAGATCTTGACTTGGTACAGCAGGCTAGTTTCTCTCACGCTCCCACACACCCCTCCCTCTCTCCTCCATTCAGGCAAACAGGAGGCATTATTCAATGGAGTGGTGTGGCCTGGGGAGAACTACAAGGAAGGCTGAGGTTTTCTATCCCTGGTCTACAATGATTGGCTACTCTCCAAGGTTTCAACCTGGGGTCTCTCCCAGCCCTACCAGGAGATGTTGGGGGTTGCATCTGGAATATCCAGGTAGCTCCATTGGTAGAGCAGGAGAGTCTTAATCTCAGGGTCATAGATTCGAGCCCTGGATTGGGCGAAATGATTCCTATATAAGGAGGGGTCCCTTCCAACTCCACAATTCTATGATTCCATACTGAATGCAGAGCAAACGCCCCACCATTCAGTTATGGTCCTTCCCCACTGTTTCTGTGATGCTTACAACATAGCATGCATTATGGCAGTAGCTTTTCCCCATTGCTTTTTCCCCAATATCTAGTATTCAGAAATGCTTTGCCTTTGTACACAGAGGCTGCATTTCTCTGTTGTGGCTAATAGCTGGTAACAGTCCTATCCTCTTAGCCACCATCCAAGCTACTAGCCATTACCACATCTTGAGGCAATGCCAAGAAAGTGGTTAGGAAGCTGTCCTATGCCAAACCGGACCTGTGAGTATGGAGTAGCCTTTTAAAAAAAATAAATCTTACTGGGCTTCCTATAAACTTAGAAGCAGCCTTTGCAGAGATTCAATAGGACATTCTTGCATTTGAAGTGGTTTGGGGAAATTCATTTGTCCATTATGTTGTTTAGGCTGTGGGACCCGATGGTCCACCCACCCTGCTTGAAACTCCCATGTAAAGTCTCTTAATAGCTTTCAGCTGTGTCTTGTAAAAAAAACAACAACAAAAAACCCCTAAAAATTAGACACTGAACTTCTAATATCTACCAGGACTAAATAATTCCTCAGCTTTTGCTAACAGCAGTGTCTGCTGTGAGTCATGTGATACCTCTTAAAAATGAAATTATCAGCCGAAAAGGATTCCTTGCTACTGTTCTGAATCCCTCTTAACATTTTGGTGGTCTTGGTCATATTCATATTCATACTCATACTCATATATATTGTTGTACTTGAACAAAAGCCAGTCCTCTGCTGGCTGGTTACCTTTGCAAACCATTATTTTTGTAGCAACGTGGCTTACTATTGCATACTGGGGCTGTGATGAGCTTAGCAGGTAGCTTGCGATTGATTGCAGAAGTTGTGATAAGCTCCGTCAGAAGTTGCTAAGCCTTGTGCTCTTGGGTAGAGCCATTTAAAATCAGTGAAGCTGCGCAGCTCTGCTCAGACGATGGAAAAGACCCTGCTCTTGCCATGTCATGTGTTCTGATGTGTCCTTTGGCATGGGCAAAAGCAGTATCTACATCACCACCCAAAGCCCAGTGGAGTGATGATGTTTGACTGCAATCAATGATCGCAGTAAAAGGCCCTTGAGCTCCATGGTGGTCAGTGGAATTTTAGTGTCTGCAACAAGGTAGTTCCAATTTTCTACCTGCCTTGCTAGTTTCTGTAGGATTAAACCTTGATAATGTAGCTGGATTAGTATTATACTTTAGGGGAACACTGTGTACCACATTTTACTACCCATCATTTGCTAGCAAAGGATGTGGCTAAGCTCCACGTTTCTTTGTTTAACCAGAGAGAGGACAGGTGTGGGAAAGCTTTGGCCATCAAGGTGTTTGCTGAACTACATCTCTCTGCAGTCTCTGAAAGCATGGCCATTGGCCAAGGATGATGGGAGTTGTAGTTCAGCAGCATTTGGAGGGCCAAAGGTTCTCTGCAGCTGAAGCAGGATTTTGGACATGGATATCTGGGTGGTGGTGCCTATGCTTCAGAGCTTCCTGTTTAAGGTGATCTACCTGGAGTAGATGGGACTTTGGCCTGATCCAGCAACACTTCTTTTGGTATTATCAGTTCAAAAGCACACAAAATCCAGGTTGCAAAAAGCTTTTCTGGAGTAGAACTGAACAACTCTCCCTTTCTCCATTTTCTAAGTTTTAGGCTACAACTCTGAATATACTCACGTGGGAGTAAGTCAGTGCAGCTTAATTCTGATTAGGCTTTTATAGGGTTGCACTGTTTAGTCCTATAGAAGATTGTAACCTATCCAAAACCTTGTGAACTGCTGGTGCTAGAACAACAGAAACCCAAAATGTTGTGTGGAAATTTGAAACTCTTTCCTCCTGTTCTGATGGATAAAATATAGGAAAGATGCAAAACCTTAATTAGCCTGTGTCTTTAAAGTCTGCAGAGTACCAAAAGGCCTCTCAGATTGCTGTGTATCTGGCAATTGTGAAATGTGATAGGCTTTCTTAATAAGCAAGGCTGGAATTTGGGCAATAGTTATTGGATTATATTTTATTTTTAAAACTTTCCTCCATTACAATTTAAATCTGAGGGTTGCAGCACTAATGAAAAGTTCTCCACCCCCCTCAAATGTTCTTGCAGATGTAACAATTCCAGTGTTCTATACTTAGCCTTGTAATTAGAACGATGATTATGTTCTCGAAGAATCCCACAAATTAAGAACAACAACAGAAAAAGATAGTGACTCATGAGAACATTTGCAACATGTTAAACGTGTGGTTGTCACTTATGAATTATGTGATTACTGTGTGAAATATTTATGGATTTATGGTTGCAGAATAGATGTTAAGTACCATGTATTGGTACTCAAGAAAAATGCCCTGTTTTGTTCCAAGTGCCAGTTTGGGTCCATTGTTGTCACTATGATCTTCATGTAATGACAATCGGTCTGGCAGCAGTGCTGATCTTCAACCAAGCTGTGGGCATCTTTGTTGTGAAATGTAGGAAGTCCTGAGCCAATTGGGGGCAGGAGTTTCCAGACTTGCCAGAGACGCCATCTGAAACAAAGGGTTGTGTTGTTAGGACAGTCCTTGCTCAAGATCCAGCAGACTGTTCTGTCAATGCTGCAGAATTTGTCCATGGAACAGGAAGGGTGAAATAATATCTTATGGATAAGGAGAAGAGCCCAATAGAAGCGAGAACTCAGTAAGGCTTCAAAGCTAGAGCATCTTTAGTTAAAAGTATTGCAAGGTAGCAAGACTTGGAAAGATCCCCAGTTGAGACCATGGGAGATTGCTGCTGGACAACAGATAATACTAGACTAGATGGATCAGTGCTTGATTCAGTCTAAGGCAGCATCATTTGAACTCATAATACAAATTTTTGCTGTTAATACTTGGCTTTATTAGCTGGGTGTCCTTATCCTACTTAATCCTGCATCATCATCATCATCATCATTATTATTATTATTGGTCCAGTCCTTAGCATCCTGATTGATGGGAAGGGCTGGTATCTTCCATTCCTGATCTAGGTCCTGCCATGATTCCTGTCGGTACTGGGTACCCACACTGTCACCTTCTGTCATCGGGTGCCATTTCCATATGGGAAGGAAAACTGATGGGGAGTGTATGTCAAGCCTGAAAATGATAAAGAGGTTGAAGCAACTTCCTCCTGCAAGGAAAGGTTATGCATTTTGGATTTTTTAGTTCAGAGAAAAAGGCAATGGAGCTTGTTACAAGTTGATAGCGTTTTCCTCCCTCTCATAATAATTTGAATGTGGAACATCTGATGAAGCTGAATTTTGTAGGACTCGAGACAGGCCAAAGTGCATTCCTCAACTATGGAATTCTCTCTTACGAGATGCAGTGATGGCTCCAACCTGGGTGTCTTTAAATGCTTAGGCAAATTCTTGGAAGGAAAGCCAAGAATGGCTTTCTGTCAATAGCCAAGATGGTTGTGTAGTATCTTTCAATACTGGAGATGGTATCCTTCTGAGCACCAGTTGCTAGGAGGACATCAGTGGGGAGAGTACTGTTGCACTCATATCCTGCTTGTGGGCCCCACAAGAGGCCTTATCCTGGGTCTTTCAGTCTGCACAATGAAATCTGATGAATGACACCACTTATGCCAGAGCTGAAGAACATTATTTTTCAGCCCGAGGGTCACATTTTTAGATGGGAAAACTACTCAGAGCTGTGTGCCAGAAGTAGGTGGGGCCGGAGACATACTTGGGTGGAACTTTGTACAGTTACTACACTCTAGACACACAAACACAGGTTTCTAGGCATCTACACCTACACATCTCTCCTTTCATGCAAGCAAGAGGTGCAGTGTCAGGTCAAGAACACATTCCACCCAGGCAAAGATGCCCAAGGAGGACATGGAGCCTTCATGGGAGGCATATGAATAGGATGCGGCTTGGGGAGAATCCAGAGGATCAGAAAGAGAGGCCTGGCTAGCATTTGGGGCTTGAGGCTCCGCATCCCTGACCCTATACCTTCCAGCACCAAATTGCGCGCGCGCGCTCTCTCTCTCTCTCTCTATGTAATGCCAAGACTTGAGCAATGGCTTAGGTCAGGCATGGCCAAACTTGGCCCTCCAGCTGTTTTGGGACTACAACTCCCATCATCCCTAGCTAACAGGAAAAATGATCAGGGATGATGGGAATTGTAGTCCCAAAACATCTGGAGAGCCAAGTTTGGCCATGCCTGGCTTCGGTAGTGCACTGTTGCCTCTTGGTTCTTGTGCTACAGTTGCAATTGTGAGAACAGGCATGTGTCGAAAATGTTGTTTTAAGCCAATTCAGAAATCTTGGAAAAGATAGATATCTCTCTCTGTCACTCATGGAGGTTGCTCATAAGTGATGACCTGAATCCAGTTTGAGCAGAGTGGGATTTGCACGTTGCTAGTGCTTGTTATATGTGAGTGGAGAGAAGGATGCCAGAAGTCAGGAACATGGAGAGGTGAAAAAGCAAACACATGAAGCTACCGCGGGCCAAGATCTGACTTGGAAACTCTTCTAACCTAGTCAGTCACCAGGGGCTATTGGGAAGCTGGGGTGAGAGAATATAGCCTGCGTCCAATACCTTCAACAAAATGGATGGCTCTCCCCAGCAGATCCTGGCATGGAAGTTTGGAAGTTTCCCTGTGTGAGACCTGCTGGCAGCTCTTGACAGAGCAGTCAGAAAGGAGCACGTTGCCCGCTTTTCCACTTCAAAGATCAAGAGGCAATTTTGTATGTGAATTGCAACATACTAAGTAGGACAGCCATACTGACAGAACCACAATATAAAAGGCACTCACCAAAAAACTTTTATCAGTATCATCACCATCATTAAACTTACTGCTCGCTCTTCACCAGCAAGTCCCAGGGTGTGGGTTGCAATTATTTAAAACAGGCTTCCTCAAACTCGGCCCTCCAGATGTTTTTGCTCGCTAGCTAGCAGGACTAGTGGTCA